AAACTCATTCAGATCGTCTGCCAGTTGTTGATTCTCCACAGTGCTGGGGGATGGTTTCTTGTAATTGGTGATGTCTTTCAGACCTTTCCACACTGAAGTAGGATCACTGGAAAATAATTGGTTCTTTAGCTTTCCAGTATAATTCCTCTTTGCCAGTCTGAGCTCCTTTTCCAGTGTGTATTTGGCCTGTTTATACAATAATCTGTCCCCATTCCTGCGAGCATCTTCTTTGGCCTGACAGAGCTGTCTGAGTTTTGCAGTGAACCATGGTTTGTCGTTGTTGTAGGTTAAATGAGTCCCGGTAGGAATGCACATATCTTCACAGAAACTGATATAAGATGGAGGAATGTAAACACTCACGAGAATGAACGAGCAAAACTCCCACGGAAAATATATCGGCTTGCAGTTAACGAAGAGCGCTTCTAGCTCAGGACAACACATCTTCTTTAACGCTGTAACATCTGTACACCACCTTTCGTTGATGTAAAAACATGTCCCGCAAACTTACTTGAAACTTGAAACTAAACATTCTTAAATCAAGATTAATTTACTTGGGAAGGTAAACTGCCTGAGACATTATGTTTTCGAAAAAAAAAAAACATCAAAATTAAGTATATGCTTAAAACAACACCAAACATCTGCAAGTGGGGTAAGAAAAATAATCTTGTTTTCCCTTTGAATTAAGTTTTTTTTTTCTTACCCCATTTTTTCTTGTTTTAAGTTGAAAAAAAGAAAACAAGAAAACAAGACTTAAAGGGATAGTTCACCCAAAAATGAAAATTACCTCATGATTTACTCACCCTCAAGACATCCTAGGTGTATATGACTTTCTTCTTTCAGACAAATACAATCGGAGTTATTTAAAAATATGTCCTGGCTCTTCCAAGCTTTATAACGGCAGTGAATTGTGGTCGAGATTTTGAAGCCCAAAAAAGTCCATCCATCATAAAAAGTACTCCACGTGGCTCCGGGGCCTTTATTTTAATAAAGGCCTTCTGAAGCGAATCGATACATTTGTGTAAGAAAAATATCTTTATAAACTGCAATCTCTTGCTTCCGCAAACTGTCATACACAGATTTTAATATAAACCAGTCTCGGTTTTCCTTTGCTTGAAATAAAACTTGGTTTTCACAAGACTAGCATATTCTCACCGGAGCTTATGCTAAACTTACGTCATCCGTTGGAACGCCACAACGTACGTACGACAGTTAGCGGAAGTTAGAGATTATGGATTATAAAGTTTTAAATGTGGATATTTTTCTTACACAAATGCATCGGCTCACTTCAGAAGGTCTTTATTATCCCCCGGAGCCATATGGAGCACTTTTTATGATGGAATGAATGCACTTTTTTGGGCTTCAAAATCTCAAAACCCATTCACTGCCATTATAAAGCTTGGAAGAGCCAGGACATTTTTTAAATATAATTCCGATTGTATTCGTCCGAAAGAAAGTCATATACAACTAGGATGGTTTGAGGGTACATCATGGGGTAATTTTCATTTTTGGGTGAACTATCCCTTCATTATCTTAGTCATTACGCATCTCAAGTAAATATATCTTGATTTAAGAATGTTTAGATATTTGTACTAGAAAAAAGAAGACAAAAATACTGAAATTTTTTTTTTGCAGCGTATATAGTACCTAATGTACATAAGTGACATAGAGGGCAAGTACATTTAGTCTTAAAGCAGTGGTATGTTTAATTTGAAGAATGAAAAAAATTAATTTTTTCAAACAGTGAAAAAAAAAATTTTCTTGCAAAAAAAGGGATAAAAATAATTGAATAATATGGCATAGTTCACCTAGAAATGTAAATGTTGTCATTATTTACTCATCATTTACTACCTTCAGGTTGTTTCAAACTTGTTTGACTTTCATTCTTCTGTGGAAAACAAATTAAATTTAATGATATAATGAAACATATATTGTATGGTGAAAAGGTGCTGTCAGTCTCATAAAATGACAAAAACACTATAAAAGTAGTCATTAAGGGAGCTTTTTGTATGGAACAGATCAAATTTTAAATGATAATGGGCTAAAAATCTTGCAATCTGCAGTAGCTCTTAAATCTCATTTGTGTTTTTGTATATTTATACATGGCGATCAGTTCCTAAACACGAGAACCAATGTCGTTTGGTGTCATGAACATCAAATCTGTCATGGTGCATCTTCACATGCCAAGTTCACAGAATACCATAGAAAAAAAAAACAGGTTGACTTAAGTGTTAGTAAATATTGACAGAATTGTCTTTTAGGGTGAACTTTTACTTTCAATTTGTTACTCTTTCTATTAGTTAGCAGCTGATTGAAGGTCGTGACCTGCTTTGTAACCCCTTCTGTTTGTTCCATTATCCGTCTTTGCTCATTTCGGTGACAGACCTCTCTCATTCTTCTCAGCCAGTCACACAAGAGCACTACAGCCAAGCTCTCACAGCACTGTGGATTCGGCAGTGCAAAACACATCCAGCACCCCTGGCTAAATGTAGCCTGTGATGTACCTATTGATCGTTCCAGATCGGTCGGAACGTGGGCGTTTGTGAGTGCGCTGTGTTTGTGAAAATTTTTCCAGAGAGTGTGGATCATTCTCCAGAGCTGTGAGCTCATCTTATAGGCAGTTTTACCATAGGTTTGATTTGGTTTGAACCCGAGTTGGATGCAAATCCCTCGGCCTGCCCCCGCAGGTCTGAGAGCCACCGTGAGCACTAGCAGCACCTGTTTACTGCTGTAGCTAGGTAACTCAGGTGGAGATGTTAACTTCACTGTTTTATTCATGGTTTTGTCTTTTTGCTGTTATTAACAAAAATTAACATACATGGAACAACACTTGTGTTTGTCTACCGCAGGTGTGAGGAAAGAGATGCGAAGAATGCTGCTCACCAAAGGCATTTTCTGCAGAGACGAGCAGTTTTGAGACATGTATTTTATAATATAATAGGGTGCATATATAGAGAGATCATGCCCAGGTCATATTTTATTTTATATTATTATTTTATTTTATTTTATTTATTATTTAATCTATTTATCTATCTATCTATCTACATTTAACATTGTTTGTTTTAATTAAACTAAATTAATTAATTAATTAAATGGAATAATTTAATAATAAAATAATTTAAATAAAATAAATAATAATTAAATTACATTTTATTAAATTATTTAATATTTTATTTTAATCAAATAAAAAAAATCAAATATTTTAACATTTGAAATATTATGAAAATTAAATATATTTCCCACAAATTTATACTAATAATATAAACTAATATTTTTTTCACTTTTTTATTTATATATATATATATATATATATATATATATATATACACTGAACAAACTTAGATATTTGAGTTCAGCTCATGAAAAATGGGGGCAAAAACAAAAGTGTTGCGTTTATAATTTTGTTCAGTATATATATATATAATTTAAATACATTTTGAAATACTAGGACATTTTTTTTTAAGAAAATTTAACACTTTCCCACATATTGATACTAAATGTAATGTTTATTCATTTATTATGATGTTATTTATTATAATATATTTAATTGTACGTATATTTTATTTAAATAATACATGACATACTATATTAAATTATTTAATATATAAAGCCTGCTTTTGGACCATTAGGTTGTTTTTATTTTTCAATATTTTTATGACAATTAAACACTCTCCCCACAAATTCTCATTATTGTAATGAATATTTTAGATTTTTTTCCCCCTAGGTGATTTTCATTGCTACTGTTATAGTAGTGTTATATTTTTACTGTTTTAAAATATAAAAAGTACTGTAATGCAGTGTGAAAATCAGCATAAAAGCAGTAGAACAAATATTACCATCATGTATAATTTCTTTACACATTACAGTAATGAGAATGAGATTTTG